AAAGAAAGAAAGAAAGAAAAAAAGAAAAAGTGGCCCAGAACACTGTCAAAGACACAATCCTCCCTCCTAAACTTCCTGAGCAGGGGGGATACACAGGCGTATGTCAGTACACCCAGCTCACTATGTGGTTTTCTTTTTTGTAACCTTCTAATTAAAAGTTTCTAAAATCTAGAGCCTGGTACAGAGAGCGCACCTGTGGTCCCAGCTAGAACAGTACTTAGGAGGCTGAGGGAAGAAGATCACGTTTACTCAGGAGTCTGAGGCCAGCCAGGGCAACACAACAAAATCTACTCAGATTTTTGTTTTGCTTTATTTTGTGTGCATGTGTGTGTACATGCGCGCGCATGTGTGTGTGTGTGTGTGTGTTGACAGGGATCAAACTCAGGACCTTGCACTTGCCAGGGAGTTGCTTATGCCACTGAGCTACCTCCCCGGCCCCTAAAATCTACTCTCTAAAAAAGCCTCAAACACCTGTCAGTGCTGGACTTCAATTTTGTTCTTTAAATAAAAAATTAATAAGCTTTGACTATCCTCAATTCTTTGCACTTTGTTAATCCTTCACATTTTAATAAGCATTTTAAAATTTCCTTTTCAATTTTTTGCCCCCTCCAAGTCCACTAGAATTTTAATTGAGGTTCGCTGAATCTACAGGTAAATTTAAGAACTGACTTGACATTTTAGCAATATTGAGTCATCTAATCCAAGGTTTCTGTCTGCATTTATGGAGATCTTTTAGAAAATTCCTCAGCAATGTTTTATAGTCCAAGCATAGTTCTTTAAATTGTAGTTTTGCAAGTGGCTGCTAATGACCTATGCTAAAGGTTTGGTTGAAAGACGGTAGAGGGCCAGGAAGATAGCTCAGTAGAATATGTGCCTGCCTGGCAAGCACAGGGTCCTGAGTTCAATCCCCAGTACCAAAAAAAAAAAAAAAAAAAGGAGGAAAGAAAGGAAGAAAGGAAGGAAGAATGAAAGGTAGGTAAGTGGTAGAACCTTTAAATAGAGAAAGGCCTAGTTGGAAAGAAATTAGGTCCTTGGGAGCATCCCTTTGTAAGGAACATAATGTTTTATTATAAATGATATTGTTTCAGTACTCCATGCCATTATATATCGTCTGCTTATTATATCATTGATACTTAAGAATTCCACATCTCTTACTGTGTGTTGCCCCCTCACAGAGTGGTTAGCACCTATAATCCCAGCACTTGGGAGGCTGAAGCAGAAAGATTACCCTGAGCTCAAGGGCAGCCTGGGCTACAGAGCAAGACTCTGTCTCAAGACAACGGAAAACAGCCTGGTGTGGTGGCATACACCTGTAATGCCAGCACTCGGGAGGCTGAGCAAGGACTGCTGTGAGTTTGAGACCAGCCTGAGCCACAAAAATGAACTCAAGGTCACCCTGAACTGCATAGCGAGACCCTTTCTCAAAAACATAAAAAATAAAACTGCTCTAAAAACTAAACTCTATTTTGAAAACAGAAAAAAAATACAATACATACATTTTAATCATAAGGAAGCTTGGGTGGCCATATTAACAACAAAGGGCCGGGGCCGGGGAGATGGCTCAGTGGAATAAGCGCTTCCCTGGCAAGCCCAAGGGCCTGAGTTCAATCCCTAGTTGCACAAAAAAAAAAAAAGTGCCAGGGATATAGTTCAGTGGCACAGCACCTGCCTGGCAAGTGCAAGGTCCTGAGTTCAATTCCTGGTCCAGAAAGGAAAAAAAAAAAAAAAAACGGCCAAAAAAAAAAAAATCATTAAAGTAGGGATTAAAAACTTTTCATGTTGGGCTGGGGAGATGGCTCAGTGGAATAAGTGCTTCCCTGGCAAGTGCAAGGGCCTGAGTTCAAACCCCAGTTCTGCCAAAAGAAAAAAGAAAGAAAACTTTTCATGTTAACAATGAAAGTCAATTATTAAAGAACAACAAGGAGCCACATGTGGTGGCACACACCTGTAATCCCAGCCCTCGGGAAGCTGAGACAGGAGGAACACTAACAGTTCAAGGCCAGCCTGGGCAACCCAATGAATTCAAAGCTAGCCTATACCACAAATTGAAACCTACCTACACTACAAAGTGACACTACCCTGTCTCAAAAAAACAAAATAATAAGTGAGTTTGGTAACACAATACAAAATCAATATACAAAAGAATGAGGCTGGGCACAGTGGCACATGCCTTTAATCTCAGAACTTAGAAAACTAAGGTAGGTAGATCACTAAAAGTTAGAAGTCAGCCTGGGCTACATACTGAACTCAGGACAAGACTGAACTACGTAGTGATCCACTGTCTCAAAACATTTGGGGCCGGGGAGATGGCTCAGTAGAATAAGCTCTTCCCTGGCAAGTGCAAGGGTCGAAGTTCAATCCCTGGTTCCACAAAAAAAAAAAAAAAAACACACATTAAATCACTGCTGAGAAAATGAAAGAGACCCAAATAAATGAAGCAATGTACCATATTAAACTATTAGAAGATTCAATATTAAGATGTTAATTTTCCCATCAGGCTGTTTGTAGAAACTGACAAGATCACTCTACAATTTATATGAAAATGTAAATCCAAATGTGTCTTCCACAAACATCAACATGTTCTATATAAAAATGCAAAACAATTTTGCAAGACACTATTGCAGGACACATAGTGATTGCAAGCTTTGCTCTGAAGAGTAATAATGACAACAAAGCATTTATAAGAATGGACATAAACACCAATGGAACAGAAAAAGACCAAAATAAATGTATAAAAGGAAAAAAAAAAAAAAATGTGGCCAAGGAGATGGCTCAGTGGAGTAAGCGCTTCCCTGGCAAGCGCAAGGGCCTGAGTTTGATCCCCAGTTCCACCAAAAAAAAAAAAAAAGGCAAAAAAGATTCAGAATACATACAGTTGCTTAATTTTAAAAATGAAACAAACATGGAAAAGGTAGAAAAAAAGAAATCCTGGGATCAGCCAAATAGCTCTGATGATTAAAGTGCCTGGTCAGACAGGCACAGCAGCCAGGTTCGATCCCCAGCATAGAGTGCCTGCCCTGTCCCAGAGGCGCGCTGGGATAGCGATTGAGAATAGGCGTGGTGGCGCATCTGTAATCCCAGCACTTGGGAGGCTGTAAACAGGAGGATCACTACGAGTCTGATCTACGCAGTGAGACACTGTGGATCCTGTACTAAATACATAAAAATAAAATAAATAAATAAAAAGACAAACTAAAGAGTAAGGTCTGTGGCCCTGAGACAAATATCTGTATTATATACCAGTTCTCAAGCCTTTCCTTTCCCCCTTCTCTCCATCCCTGTTCATAATTCTCACCAAGATGAACCTGTCACCTCACTGCTCTCCCAGTCCATCCTTCATAGTACAACCACGGGTACTCAGCAATTTCAAATAACTGCTCCCCGTTCCTGACAATGCAGGACTCATCTTCACACGTTTACTGTACAACCCTTCGCGACATAGCCCCTACTTACTTCTCTAACTTATCACCCGTTTCCACCACAATTACCTCTGCCCCATACAAATTACTTGCATTTTAATAAAATCTATTCTTTCATTACTTTGTGCCTTTTCAGAGTATTTACTGAGTTTTAAATCAATTATCTCCTACTATGTAATCTTTTTAAAAATCCTTTGTTTCTTTTTGGTCTTCCTGCAACAGGGTCTGCTGGGATTACAGATATGTACCACCAT